CAGCTGCATAAGAAAACTTGAAAAGCTGGGTTGAAAAAAGAAAAGCAAAAGGAAAAAAAAAAGAAAAGGAAAAAACATTTCTATTATCAGAGAGAATTAAGAAATCATTAAGCAGAGACAAGGAATTCAAAGTTGAAAACTTTACAGACAAGTCTTTTTACAGTTGCAAAAGCATAAAATTCCCACAAAAAGTATAAAGAAAAAGGTAGATATCAGATAAACCCACGCCCAACACACAAGAAGAAAAAAAAAAAAGGGAGAAAGAGTTGTACTCAGAGTCTCAAGCTACATTAGAAATTTTCCCAAGAACAAGAACATAGAAAAAAGTCCAGTGTACCAGAAGTTATAAATATCAATACTTTCAAGCTTATGACAAATTTAACTAATCTAAAATCTTGGAAACTCAGAAAACTTCCAAAAGTAAACAAGAATTATTTGTTTATATTTGTAAGTTCTTTTCTCACAAGCCACCAAGAAAAAAGAAAACGTGTAAATACCAAATAATAATGGTGTTTAAAGAGACAAAAAGTTATATATAATTTCAATTTTCACGTACCTAGAACGTAATATCTGAGAACATTATTGTGGTAGAGAGAGGCAAAGGAAAGAGATTGAAACAGCAGAGATGAATAATGATCGGCGACTGAATCGAATCTTCAGAGGGAGAGAGAGAGAATATGTAGATTTGACAGTCAGGTTTCGACCCACTCTCTTTTGTTTCCTAGATTTGCTACTTCCCCTGCTTAGACCCGTTTGGCCATAGTTTGGCCAAGCTGAAAAAACTATTTATTTTTAAAAAATTTAAAAAGTTATTTTTTAGAGATTAGCAGTTTGTATTTGATCAATTCATTTGAGAAGTATTTTTGCGATATTTAATAAGTGAATTGTATTTGACCAATCTCTTTCAAAAAAGTACTTTTGAGTATTAAATTATGATAAAGGACAATAAAGATTAGTTTACATTAGTAGTATTTAAAAAGAGATATCTTATATATTTATTATGAAGGAATTTAATTAATTTTTTTATTTTTATGTAATTATATTAAAGCATAAAACATAAAGTAATATATATTAATATTTTAATCAATATATAATATAAGTATATAAAAACAATAATATTAGTAGGAACACATGTTCTTACAAGTTACATTATATAAAAAATACTATCAATTTTTGAGAAAAATAAACTAGGTAGTATTGCATTATGTCAACTATATTATATGCATGCACGCAAAGAAAATATATAAATAAAGCTACAAAGTGGAGATCATAAAAAAAATCATGCCTTACCAAAAAAGTGCTTGGATTTGGTGATTAGCCTTATTATTTCAAAGAGTAACAGGAGACGAAGAAAAGAATTCTAACTTCTTCCAAGGAGCAGAAAAATTATTTTCGCTGGTGCTTAAAAGCACTTCTCTGTTTTGGCCAAACACCTTATATTTTTAAATAAATATTTTTTTGGCAAAAAAAAAAAATACTTTTGACCTTTTAGAAGCTTGATCAAACAAGCTCTTATATTGAAAAAAAATGATTTCACTTGTATATAGTCACGACGTTAATTTTTTTAATATTATCAGTGTTATTTAAATTTAAGTTAATTAGTATCTATTACTTTTATCAAATTATTAATATTAATTAATTATTATCATAGGAACTTAATTTCTATTACCTTATAAGTGTTTTGATACTGTAAATATTGTTTTATACCATTGTTCATAAAACTTAAAATCATTGAAATTTTGTTTTTTAACATTTCAGTTTTTTGGTATTTGTAATTTAATTATTACTTGATCCGATCCTATTTTAATATTGTTAGTTGAAATTAAATATTTGCACTTTAATAAAAATTGGATGCAATTCTGATGTGCAAGAACACGAAAGTTGCACTCCCCGACTCTCTCTCTCTCTCTCCCTCTCTACGACACTAACCCCAACCCCAACCCCAACCCCAACGGTCATCTTCTACCGGAACCCTACCAGTGCCGACGACAACAACAAGGTATGATTTTCGACTTCCCCTTCACCTCTCTCACTCCTCTCTCTTATACCACTCATTTCTCTCCCTTCTTTCTTTCTTCCTCCTTCGTTCTCCCCTCCTCTTCACCCCCAATATTCGCAGTAGTTGTTTACTTCGACGACTGTTGTCCCGTTGATGACCTCCAATCCGGCGGCTGCAGTCCCCTCCTTGTTTGTCCCTCTCCTTTTATTTACTTCTTTTCCTCTTCTTTGTACTTGCATGTTAGACTATTCGGAAATTACCCCCCCCTCCCCCAACATTTTTTTCCCTCTAGTTTTCTCTTATTTTTCTCTTCTTTGCTTTTGTTGGGGCTCTACCATTGGTAACGGAGACAACCACCTTGTTTGGCTCTTGGGTATTCTGTGTGTCTTTCAGGTAATGCGCAGTGGCTAGTGGAGACGAGCGAGAAGCGCACACGTAAGCATAGAAGAGCAGCTAGGCGAGTATCAGTAAGGGGCGGTGGAAAGTTGGACGTAAACGCGCCATGTGTCGCAACAATGTTGTGTACACCAAGAAAATTTTTAGGTTCTATTCTCGAGAGTTGGTACCTTCCGCTTTCCTGTTTTCTCTTTCTTGTGTTAATTATATTGTTGCCTTTTTAGTTTGTATTAGTTTAAAGTATACAATTAGCGTGCTTGTAGTTACAACTTGTTTTCTCCTAGTTTGATCTGTTTGCCTATTGTGTGTTAGTGATTCTCCTTATTTTGTTGTAGGTATAATGGTTGTAGTCTCGATGGTAGAGTAAGGTCATGTCCTCGGGGGGTCAGGGNTGACGGGTAAGTCTATAGAGCTGGCGAAAATCCTCCAGAAGATGAAGGTTAATATAGCGTGTGTCCAGGAGACTAGGTGGGTAGGATCGAAGGTGAGGGATGCTGTCACGACCCCAAATTCCCTCCGTATAATGTCGTATCGGCTGCATAAACATTAAATAAAAGCTTAGAATTTCAAAACTCCAACAATTTCATAAATAAAATCTGTAAACTAAATACATTCACTTCCCAAAACCTAGTGAGATATAAGTCACAAGATCTAAGTACAGTGCTAAACAATCCTATACATCATTGTCTATAAAAGTAGAATGAAATAAGGATGAACAAGATAGAAGGGGACTCCGAGGCCTGCGGACGCGGGCATGTGTACCTTGAAGTCTCCCAAATCAAGCTCAGCCTGCTAGTACCGGGACTGATAAGATGTACCTGGATCTGCACAAATATATGTAGAAGCATAGTATGAGTACACCACAACGGTACCCAGTAAGTGCCAAGCCTAACCTTAGTAGAGTAGTGACGAGGTCAGGTCAAGGCTCTAATGGAGATAATAAGAAAATAAGATAGAAGACATAAGAATATAATGATAATGACAAAGAAAGTGAAAAAAAAAAAGAATCTACAAAAAGTTAACAACATGGAATCAAGGCATTTAATACAACACCAAAGGAAAATAAGGATTTTACATGTTAAGGAAACAATAACCAAACAAATACAGCAAATAGAGAAGATCAACGGGGGGGCCTACCGAGGTACCGCTTCGTAGTCCGAAATCATAAAAGTAACTCACAGTCTTTCCTTATATCACCGCGAGAGCCTTTACATTTAGTTTTGAATATCATTTTACCCAAAATAACACCCCACGTTGTAGCCCACCTTATCACACTGCATGGCATCTAGTAATTCCCTACTAGCCACGCGTATCAAGCCCACCTTATCTCACTGCATGTGTTTCAACACCCAGACTTTATGCCACCACATACGTATCAATAGTAACAACAACGTGGCAAAAACCTCGTGTAAATAGTAACAACAACACAACAGAAACCTCGTGCAAACAACCAACCAATTCTCTCAACAATAACACACATGCCAAAACATAACAACTCAATAAAACTATATTTCACAACTTACACTTTGCCTCAATAGAAACCACGGCCTTTGCAACTCAACACCAAACTCAACAGCAAGATATTTCAAGGATAGCAAATTTCAAGTAAAGAATCCCACAGTTAAATAATGAATACGGAATTAAGAAAGCAAGTAACTGAACTAAATATGTAATACAAGTTGCAAATAAGAGATAAGATAAGTAGACATGTGAAATTAGACTAAACATGGTGACTATAACATGCTAAAGTAACTCAATTAAAGCATGAAAAGGAAACTATGTAGCTAAAATCGAGATCTCAATATTTAGCCCGTGTATGCACTTGTCACCTTGCGTACACGGCCTCCACATATCACAATTATCACAACAAACCAAATCCTAAGGGGAATTTCCCCCACACAAGGTTAGACAAGTCACTTACCTCAAACCACGCTAAATCAATTAATTAGAAGGCCCTTCCTTTGATTTTCCAACTCCGAACAGCTCAAATCTAGCCAAAACAATTTCATACTATAAATATAATTATAGGAAACTAATTTAAATAATTAAATTATGACCTTAGCAAAGAATTGAATAATCGCCCCAAAAAGTCAACCTGGGCACGTGCCTCGAAACCCGACCAAAATTATAAAAACCGAACTCCCATTCGATATCGAGTCCAAAAATACATGAATTATTCAAATCCGATCTCATTTCGCCTTTCAAAACTCAAAAAGAATAGTCTAAGAACTTCTACACTCTTTCCCCAATTATTTAAACTCAAATCCTTAATTACATGATAATAATAATGATAGATTAGTATAATTTAACCAAAATCGAGTCAAGAACTCTTACCCTAACAATTCCTTTGAAAATCCCTCGAATTACGCCTTAAATCGAGCTCTCAAAGTCCCAAAATGAATTATGAAATCAAACTCTCGTATTCCCCTTTTCTGCCCAGCGACTTCCACTTCTGCAGCCTATGGGTCACTTCGCGACGCCTCACCTGTGGAAAAACGATCGCAGGCGCGGAAAACACTTAAGTCCCAAAATTCTGCTTCTGCGGACCATTGCTCGCACCGGCAAAATATTTCTCTGCTTCTGCGAAGGACGACCAGCCGCCCCTCTTCCGCATCTGCGACCACATCTCCGCACTTGTGGACGCGCAGATGCGGTCCACTCCTCACACCTACGAACCCAGCTAGGCTAGGCCATTTTCGTACCTGCGCTCCCCAACCCGCTTTTACGAGCCCTCACCTACGGTCAATCCCTCTACAGGTGCGATGACACCAGAACAACCCAACTTCAGCAGAACATTAAGTCAAAAAATGATCTGATTTTAGTCCGATTCACACCCGGGCCCCCCAGACTTCATCCGAATATACCAATTAGTCCCAAAATATGTAACGGACCTACTTGAGGCCAAAAATCATATCAAACAACATGAATTATACGAATCGCAACCCAAATTCAAACTTAAGCAATTGTGAACGTCCAAATTCCGAAACCAGTGTTGATTCATACCAAAACAACTCCGATTGATACCAAATTTTGCACACAAGTCATAAACGACATTACAGACCTATTCCAATTTTCAAAATTAGGATCCGACCCTGATATCAATAAAGTCCACTCCCGGTCAAACTTTTCAAATTCCTCCAATTTCCAACTTTCGCCAAATCACGCCGAAACGATGTACGGACCTCCAAATCAACATACAAAGCTATTGGAACCATAAAAACTCCATTTAGGAGTTGTCTTCACACAATTCAAACTATGATCAACTCCTACAACTTAACCTTCTAACTTCGTGACTATGTGTCCCATTTCACTCCGGAACTCACTCGAAACCAAAACCAAAACCCTCGGCAA